GTCTATATACACCAGTTAACGATTAATCCATTACTAAATTAGTTGACAATTATTTCAATAATCGATTAATTGTTTTAGCTCTTGTGGAAACCCTGAGATCTTACCTTTCCAAAGATGGGTAGATCCACTGATCCCCATGTGTCGGCCCCCCAGTGTACGAGTCCCGACGCAAAGTCAGCGGTGAGTATTCCTGCCACTGAGGAAGAAGTTATGATCAGAAAAAAACTAAAAACATCCACACCGTGTGCAATTCTGGGCTCAGAGCTTACCGATGCCCAGCTGTATGTACCACACATGTCCCAGATGGAAATTGGCAAGAAGGTGAATTAAGTTGAAGGCCATGAGAGAGAAGCAGAGGATGACGCTGATCCATTCTTGACATCGTTTGCCTGCCAGAAAATACAGAAACAAAACGGATAAAATGAAGAAAGAGCAAAATGTTCCTGATTACATTAACAGTCCAAGCGAGTTTCCAGTTCATCTCTGATCCACTGACCTACTTGTGATAACGTGTCCTCCAAAAATAAAACTTTCAAAGGTTAAACTTATCAGATTCCTGCTTAAAGTGGCAACAACAAACTTCATTTCGTTTCACTGGAATTTATGTGATAAGAACTGGTTTCTTGTTTAAACCAGTCACATTTGCAAAGCAACTTAAGACCATTTGGATTGAATATTGAGCAGTTTTCAAGACCTGCCACAAATTCTCAATCAGAATTCAGTCTGGACTTCAACTAGGCCGTTTCAACATACTTCAGATCTTTCTGTTTTGCACTTAGACCTGCCACACATTTTGTTGGACAATAAATTGTCCCAGAAGTTATTGTGATAAATAATAATTTTGTTGTTTTGAGAGTGTTTTAAATATCCAAAGTAAATAAAACAGTTTTTCCTGGAGAGAGAAAAACAATAAATCATGCAAATGGAAATTATTGAGCTTGATTTATCATGCGATTTATTGAGACATGTCTGCATTCACTTAAAAAAACGTAATTTGATTTAAATTGAATATGCTTAAAGGTTTCTCCACCCTTGTCCTGTATGCGTCTACCGTCTTACTGCACACCTGAAATGAAAGGCTGATGAACAGAAATCCAATCATTTGGTGTTCTGGAGACGAAACGCATCGAAACCATGAAGGACGGACTCTTAAAGGGCAGATATGCAAAAAAAAAATTTATTAATTTTTAGCTTTTCCTCATTTCATAATGTTATTCCTTTATCAAAAACATACTTGGAGTTTTGCTTTGATTTTTCATGCATGTTTGAGAAATCTTTTTAATCACCCGTGGCAACCATTGAACTGTGCAAAACGTTTGCTTTCACCAAGCGTCGCCATTTTACACAAAGCTGGAGTTTCCAAGCTGAGCTATTGCCTCACAGAGCAGCCCTTCCCCACTCAGCTCCTCCAAACTAGCAGCAGCATTTAGCAAACATCTGGGGGAGCTGAGAGTCTGCTGAGCTCAAACTATTTCTCAACCCAACGCTCCTAAGAAAGTTTGTAAACGGCTCAATGGAGTAACTAAAGGTTGTGTCAGAAAGAGCAGGAGCTTTTTAAAGAGACAGAGGCCCAATTTCAAGGCATTAAATTGCTATTTCTTTTAAGTTATGTTTGATATACAGGATATTTATAAATGAAGGCAACATAGTTACCTGGAAAATACATAATGCTGCCCCTTTCGCAAGAGTTTCTACGAGGATCAAGACAGAACCACTTTCTCCCTCCCCTCTCTAAAGTTCCCACTATGGTCTTTTTTCTCTTGCCACTCCCGTAAAAATCAACATTTATATAGTGTACAGCTAATATGTGCTCTGTCAACAAACTGTTTCCTAACCTACCTCTGCATTAAGCTTTGCTTTTGAAGGTAACTGGCTGTCATTGATTTCATTTCAGCCTGAAGGCTGAATACAAATGATTTTGTAGTTCTATGGTATAATAACTAGATAAAATACACTCGAGTTTCTGTTCATGACAAGACAAATCAAGAAGATCAAGGGATGAGAAAACCCTCACCTGTTTACAATATAAATAAAATTATCTTAAAAAGGACACAGGAAGGAAAAGGTCTGTAACCGCACACAACCAAATTAGTCATATGCTGGCTCCGAGCAGAGCACGAACCACATTACATTTGTATAAAGGGTGTGGAGGATTTACTTTGTTAATCAAGTCCAACCTGTACTGTAATAAGAGGAATCCTGACATAGTTTAAGAGCTTGATGTTTTTAGGTCACGGTGTACACGTCAACCCTGTTGGAGAAGGAATTCCCATAACATCTGCTCAGTGCTGGAAATGTCAACGCTGCACACAAACTCCACTCAAATTTAACCAGTCTCACATGATTCCTATTGTGTAACAAAAGCATTGTGGCTTGGACAAAACAGAGGCAGAGCAGCCGCCGACTGGTTCCGGTCATCAAAGGCATTTCTGTTGTCGCTCGCACAGTAATTGGTTAGATTTTCATCGGAGTTTGTTGGTTGGTGACTAACTAGGTAACCAGTCGTTATATATCACACCCTCTTCTTCTTCAACACTCAAGCTGGCAGGATCAAACCCACAAGCGACGCTGCTGTATAGAGGATCCACTCACCTGGCGAGTACAGGCTAGCCAGTTCACGGGCACCGGCGTGCTGTGAGCCCCATCTGACCGCGCCCCGACCCGGACCCTGCGGCTGTGCCGTCTCCGCTGCCACTCCACACCCGTTCTCGGTGACCATACTCGCCATTTCTTTCCTCTGTGGGCCCGGCCCCTTTCGGTCCTTCCACTCACAGCACCGGGAACCAACGGAATCGTGAACGTCTCATCCGACGGACATAGCAATGTTTTCAACCAATCAGACATTAATCGATGAGCGCAAGAGCCAATGGAGGCGCGAGAAAATGTTTCCATAATTGGAGAGCAACCAATAGAGAGACAGATTGCGTGTATTTCATTTCCTGGCCCCACCCGTGCTGTTTCCTCAGCTGTAGATGTGAAACTCACCAGAAGATGGCGCTGTGAGCGTATGCCACGTTTCAAACGGGCGGAACTGGTGTTGTAGCGACATTCGTTACCCCTCGTATTTGTCGGTCCATGAGCGTTTTTTAAAAAAAATGCCAGCTGTGTTCGAGTTGTAAAAGCAAAATAACACAAAATTAGGTGGAGTAAAGTATATTGTTGGATGCAAGCCGCCGTTTAAAATTTAAGAAGAAGAAGTTAAGTTTTATTTTCTCAAAGAAGCAGCAGTCACAATTTTTCCATCTTTACAGCTCAGGTTGGTGAGAAAAAAAAATGCAGTAATTATGCGTCATTTATATATTGTCTCTGCAAATAAGACAAAACTAACTTACAGGTAACTTTTCAGCAACATATTGAAGGGTTTTACAAGTCAATAATTCCTTAATATTGATTTTAAAAAGTACTAGCTCCACTGGCAGATTATTTCACTTATAATATGGGGAAATGTCTTGTTATAAGTGAAATAACATGCCAGTTTAAGTAGTACTTTTAACAATATTCAGAAATTATTTACTTAAAATGAGCTCCTATATCTTGCTGAAGTTAAAAGTTAGTTTTGTCTTAATTTAAGTGTATAAAGATATTTGCATTTGAAAATATACAAATATGCTTGTTAAGATTTAGTTTTTTGCAGTGTATAAATGCTATTGTAGAATTTATTGTTTGAAAAGCACAATTTGCACAAACAAATTGAAAAAAATAAAATAAATTATAAATTAAAACTATTGATTTACTAAAATAAACATTTGCTTTCAGAGTGGAGGTGTAGTAAAACATTATGTTTTCCAGTTCTGATTTTTAAACATATGGCAGGTTTTCAGGAAGTGGCTCTTGCTGAGGTGCATTTGAACCGGGTTTCTTCAACTCTAGGCCTCGACGGCCGATGTTCTGCAACTTTTAGATGTGTCCCTAGTTCAACATGAATCAAATGGCTAAATTGCCCTCGCTCTCGGTATGCAGTAAAGTTCTCCAGCTCCTGCTAATGATCTGATTATTTGACTAAGGTGTCTTGAAGCAGAAACATATCTAAAAGTTGCAGAACATCGGACCTTGAGGCCTGAATTTGGAAATATTTGACGACCAGATTTCTGATGACCTGAAGGATCTGAATACTCTGAGAAGCATTCATGCCCAAGGCCATTTATTGCTTTATAGACAAAAAAGAGTTTGAAATCTATCCTTTTACAAGCAGGAGTGATTTAAGGACCTCTGGGATATGACACATTTTTCTCTTTTTGGTCAGAACTCTGCAGCTGCCCCAGTGATTTTTTATTTTTATTTATATTTTTATTACGCCACCAAAACAGCACTGCAATAATAAGAACTGTGCAAAATATCAGATCACATCATTGTCCCGTAATACACAGTGGGAAGAAGGGTCATATCTCAATATTTGGTAGTCTGTTGTGTTTTCGGCGCTATAACTGCAACTTCTGCATGTCAATAATACATTTGTTTTGTTTGACAGACTTTCACTGCCGTCCTTTATGTGTATTTTAAGCCGCCAAGTTACTAAAGTTCACTAAGACTAGTGAGTAAATAGAAAAAAGCTGAAGAGAAAATCAAAATCTATCTGCATCTTAATGTGGTGCAATATTATTTCAGCTACATGTTCTACTAATATTATTCAGCCCTACTTTTCATTTAATTTGAGTATCTTTTTTCAAATTACAGTAATTATCTTTCTGTGGTTGTTTTTTCTAAGTAGAACTGGAGAAAAAAGAGAAGAGGTTCAGAAAGAAGGATGAAGAGAATATCAGATGCCCATAATGACGTCACAAATGGTGAGTAATTTCCACAAATTAAATACGCACAGAAACCACATCTGCAGACTGAGAAGTCTGATTTTACAAAAGGTTTAATGCAGTAAAATGTAATCACACGTTAGAATAACTTTAAAATGATGCAACTGTTTAATGAGAACCCAAAGGTTTTTAAGCTTTTAAAAAGAAAAAGTTAACTTCTTCAAGAGCCAAAACAAACTGTCTGTTTAGTAAACTCTTCTTTTTCCTGTTGCAGCCATGTTTGTGGGTCATGACTAATAAATAACAATGTTTACATAAACGTTTCTGAGGACGCGGCTGAGTCACTGAGATGCTATTTCTGTTCTTCTCTTTTTACCAGTTTACTGTAAATGCTGCAATACTTCCTGCAGCTCTAGATGGGTTTAATTAGAAACAGAAAAACCTAAAAATGAAACTGATCTATCATGAGGACGGTAGTGGTTAAAATGTCCATCTGTTAGGCAGAAACATTAGTTAAAATATAGAGTTTACCTTTTCAGCAATTAGATTCTATTGACGGAAACTTTTGTTATCTGAAATGATGACTGAATGTTTAGTAACAAACATAAATTTTAATTTTTTGATAAAGCTTGGAATAAGAAAAAAGGGCAGCACACAGATGCTATGGTTTTGACACAGTGGAGTACAGAAGTATTCACACTAGAGGTGTGCCGATCGATCGGCCACCGATCATAATCGGCCGATTTCCGTGAAAAAGTGTATGATCGGTAATCGCCGATCACGGTCTCTTGTTGCCGATCTCGTTTATCTCACTTCGCAGCCTGCGTGCGCAGCTTTCCTTCACACTGCGCAGGCGCGCAGCAGTAAATCCTGTCCTGTGGAACTTGAACGCTCTGAGTGAACGGGGACGGGGAAATTACCTCGGGAGTGAAGCACTTCAAAATGCATCCACACAATCTAATATCTAATATGGCATTTAAAAAACAGCACTTGACGGAGTTCGGCTACATCGAGGCTCAACGCAGGAAAACAGGACATCTGGAGCGGCAGCTAGCAGGTACAGCAGCGCACAGCTACCAACACTCACCCGGACTAGCATCACGGTCAGAAAGCTAAACAAATAAACCGGAAAATAATTTAGGTCTTCGAGCTGGCGGTGTAAGACGCTGGTTCTCCTCTCGCTCTTGGACCGCCTGTGAAATAAATACAAGTAGTATTTAATAAATACAAGTAGTATTTATTTCACAGGCGGAGCGGCGCTCAACCTCCACCCAGCAGTGAACTCTCACACCGAGCCTCTTCTTAAAGCTGCAGCACGTAACGTAAACAATAACAACAAAAACATTCACATATTAAAACTTTCGCTATGTCCAAACATGATACATAATTTATGAAAATAAAAAATAATCGAACTCCTCTCCCGCCTCCTGTTTTCTGCACAGTTACTCAGCTTTGTCAGAACCAGCCAATCAGAACCAGCATTAATCAGCTAGCCATGCTAGCAGGAAGTTTGGATTTAGTAACTCGGGATTGTTTATTTTGATGCACCCTGTATTTGACTTTGAATGAATGTTTCCCTCTTTTACTAGACATTATTTGGTATAATAAGTGTTATGAGATTTATTTGACTCATGTATAATTTAGGGTACTGAGAGGCTTACTGTTAAATATTGTTTAACTGGTTGCAGGTTTTTCAGTTGTACTTTTGACTGAGAAGCTGATCTATTGTGCCTGCAAGTATGATGCATGTTTATGTTAATTAGGTGGATTTATTACCAGATAATTTTTTAAATTTTTCCAGATCACATAACAGTATTCAGACGATTGGCAAAGATCGGTGATCGGCAGAGATCGGCCTCATGGGTGATCGGTATCGGAATCGGCAGCAAAAAACCTGATCAGAGCATCCCTAATTCACACATTTGAATCTTTTCTACATTTCAGTCACAAATGTCCGTGTTTTTTCTTGGGAGTCATAGACTAGACCAACACAAAGGCATGCATAATTGTAAAGTTTAACTAATTAGATGGCTTCTTTATCATTTTATTTAGGGGCATCAGATTATAGAGGACAAATACAAAATGCTCAGTGCATTTTTTAATTTGTATGAGCTATGAAAACTTTTTAAATTTAATTTCACAGTTATATTTCACTTTGTCTATCACGTAAAATCTCAATAAAATACACTAAAGTTTGTGCTTCTAACTCAATAAATGTGGAAAAATTGCAAGTTGAGTGAATATTTAACCTGTGATAGGAATTTCAATATTGTTTATCTATTCCTGTACTACTTTCATCTTGTTTTTTTCCCCAATATTCTGTATTTATTGTCTTCTTTTGACTTGTGAATGGAGAAATGGACAGAAAAAAACAAACTTATTATTTTTGTTAAATAGCATTATTCTGTAAAATGTTCTTAAAGGTTGCATGCATGTAAAGCTCTGTTGCACCTTGCCTGGATCTGTTCACGCATGCAGATCCAGCAAACATCTAAATGTACCATCATTAAATGTCATTAAATGTGTAATTATCCCTGACATTAGATTAAACCAAACAATTTAGAAAGTGTTTAATTACATCTTTAGGCATCAACAACAGGTTTATAGTGACAAATTAGGGTGGAGCTGCAGTTCTGCACCTTCACCAGATGAGATAACGGGATTAATTACGCATTTCTGAGGTAGTTTATCAGATTCTCAATTTAATGAGAATTATAGAAGTAGAAACCTTTAAAACAGACACAAGATCAGTGACTCTTGATTCTTTTTCTTGATATTGGAAAAACTGATGAATTTGTTTGTTTGTTTTTTATTATCATGTTTGGACCTGATTACAGAAAAAACTAAGCAGAATAATTCTTTGTAAAACCAGGTTGGGTTTCATAAACGGGGAGTTGACATGACTGTTATGACAACAGATTCAGAAGTAAACAAGATAAACACATATTCATTTTCTCATTAAAGACATCAAGGGAAAGTAACA